CCCCCACACATACCCAATCCCCCTATTTCAAAAGAAGGTATGCCACTGGAGTCAGCGTATTCAGATGATTGTAACTTCATGAACGTGGAAAAAGAATCCTTAGAAGCTATCCTACCAATAGCTAAGGAAGTCTTCAAGGAGTTTAACCTGTTCATTAACACAGAGAAAACAGAATTTACCCATGTTTTCCTCGCTCCTGTTGGAGAAACAATCCCTGGTCGTGATGATACCATGTTACGTGGAAATGAAGATTGGCGGAAGAGTAAGATTCTTGGGTCATTGTTGTGTAGTGAAAGTGATATAGCTGCTCGATGCATTGCTGGGAACAATGCCTTCTATAAGTTCACCAAGATCTGGTCTCAGCAGAATATCTCCGTTACCAGAAAGATAGCAGTTTACGAAGCCCAAATTGTATCAATCATCATGTACAATTGCAGTAGTTGGTGTCCTACTGCAAAGTCACTAGAAAAACTAGACATTTGCCATAGAAAACACCTTAGATCATTACTGAACATTTATTGGCCTCATGGAACAATATCCAATGCAAACTTATACCTAAGATGTAACTCAGTTAAGCTATCAGATCGTGTCCCTAAAGCAAGGTGGAAGCTCCTAGGTCATATCTTGCGTAGTGCTGATGACTCCCCCGCTGCATTAGCGTTAAAGTTTGCTGTCACAACAAACTGTAAAGGGCGCGTCGGTGCGCATCGTAAGAATTTGTTCAAGATTATTGTGAATGATTTGACCCGTAGAGGTTTAAAACTTAACTCTTTGAATGATCTTAATAAGCTTAAGATATTAGCCGATGATAGAGTTGCTTGGAGAAACAAATTTTAACTCTAGCTGTCTTGATCTGTACTGATCACCATTTTAGGATGACTTGATTTCTTTTAGGGGTTTTGAATATTTTAATGGTGTAAACAGTTTCTTAATAATAATAATAATACAGTTTCATATGCCCAAAAATGCTCATTAGTAATTTTGTAATTTTGTATAGATATCGGTAAAAAGGTTTACGATTCAAACAAAGTTTAGAGCACCGTATCTGTTCACCTCTATTTCTACTACTGTGCCTGTTGCTACGTGGACACGGTATTTTCCTTTCTTCAGATAAACAGTCCTGTAAATTATTGTTTTCGAGTCGCAGAATTGATTTTTAAAAAAATACAAATATTTGTGCCGACCATATTCTGTACTCTCCAGGCCTTTTTATGCTTTTGATCTTATTTACTTATTTACTTGCTATTCGAATGAAGTTCGACAGACACTGAAGTTCGACAACTAAAGTTCGCCAGAAATCCTGTTTTAGCAAGATGATTTAATGTGTGATAGTATAATATTCACACGAGGCCTCATTAAACTCTCCAAAGATCATTGATCGTATAGATACAAATATTTGTGCCGACCATATTCTGTACTCTCCGGGCCTTTTTATGCTTTTGATCTTATTTACTTATTTACTTGCTTTTCGAATGAGCATAAAAAAGACACTGTGTTGTGAAAAAGATTCACGTACTGAAGTTCGACACACACTGAAGTTCGACTACTAAAGTTCGTCAGAAATCCTGTTTTAGCAAGATTATTTAATTTGTGAGAGTATAATATTCACACGAGACCTCAATAAACTCTTCAAAGATCATTGATCGTATAGTCCCGTGGTAAGATAATTATTCAAAAGCTCAGACTTTTGCAATTTACAATTCCTAAATGTAGATCATTCAACACTTACATTAACTAACGAAAATTTTCGATTTCATTCGTATTTTGACAACAATTTACCCATTCTATGTTACAAAATACTTAGTTTTAAAGATATATTCATGAAAATCTGTTTTTGGTTCACCAAAATAACACCTGATATTGGTATCTCTGGCTGGGTTGGCAAAAAAAAACTTCTCCAATTATTAAAACTACTTGGAATGAGTATGACCACCCCAATAAAATACGACATATACAGCTTCATATGCCCAAAAATGCTCATTAGTAATTTTGTAATTTTGTATAGATATCGGTAAAAAGGTTTACGATTCAAACAAAATTTAGAGCACCGTATCTGTTCACCTCTATTCCTACTACTGTGCCTGTTGCTACGTGGACACGGTATTTTCCTTTCTTCAGATAAACAGTCCTGTAAATTATTGTTTTCGAGTCGCAGAATTGATTTTTTTAACAAATACAAATATTTGTGCCGACCATATTCTGTACTCTCCAGGCCTTTTTATGCTTTTGATCTTATTTACTTATTTACTTGCTTTTCCAATGAAGTTCGACAGACACTGAAGTTCGACAACTAAAGTTCGCCAGAAATCCTGTTTTAGCAAGATGATTTAATTTGTGAGAGTATAATATTCACACGAGACCTCATTAAACTCTTCAAAGATCATTGATCGTATAGTCTCGTGGTAAGATAATTATTCAAAAGTTCAGACTTTTGCAATTTGTAATTCCTATATAATATTGATTTAGCGTTAGTTAATTGATAATTCCTATATAATATTAATTCTTTAATTTAGCGTTATAAACTAATGTTTGCCCACCGTCACTTCTTCGTTAGTTTGTTTCGTGATGTTCACATCATCAGCTCCAGCCTCCAAGTATCTTTTTTTTGCCGTTCCAATTATTTTATTCAGTCATCACTCATCACCTCACTTTTCAAGTTTACTTTCATTCCCCCCACACAATTACTCTACCAGGATTCTGCTTTAAATTTTAATGCTTATTAGTCTCGTATATTATCCAACGTTAGCTTGCCGTTTTAGAAAGCTTATCAAACAGATTCAATAATTTAGAGAAGAAGAAATTTCCTATCTCTAAAATATAAATGCCCAAATTTTTTCTTCGCCCAAACAAGTTCAAATTTCTTGTTCAAGTTTCTGGTACTCAAATTATAAGATCCCTCGGTTTTGCCACACAAATTTGGCACACAAATTTTTGGAAACTAAGGTATTTCCATTTATCGACTGTAATTTCTGGCTTTATTCGACATCACTAACAAACTCTCCCTCCATAGCAGTTTGATGTCGGACTGCGGTTGTCCAACGACAGCTGACCCGGAGTTAAACAAAAAACTTCTCAAAGTTTTTCTGGAAGATGATGACGTTTATTCTGGGGAGCCGCTGAGCAACCTTCCTAACTTCACTGTCTTCAGAGAGAGTCACATGAAGGAAGCTTACGACAAAGCAAATGAACTTTCTGGACTGGGCGTCTCCGAAATGATAGATGTTCTCTCTGACCTAAAGAACCGACATCCTAGCAGTACCTATGGGGACTATCTCTCCAGAATTGCTTTGTTCCAGCATCCAGAAACAAATAAAATGACTCTTCCTCCTCCTCACCAAACTATTCCGCGAGCTTTCTTCTCCAAAGACCAACTCTTAACCGGACCTGGAGAAAACATTCCACCGGATCCCCAAAAAACCCTTGTCGGAAGGGCTGTCACTTTGGACCCAGAACACACGCTTAATTGGTGGAGAGAGGACTTAGGACTATCTGAGCACCATGCTCACTGGCATCTCTACTACGCTTGGTATAAGCCATTGAAAATTGAGCGGCAGGGGGAGCTGTTTGCCTACATGCATGAGCAGATGCTGGCCAGGTACGACTTTCAGAGACTAGGAGTGGGTCTCCCTCCTGTCCTTCCTTACGGACCAGGTATTCACTGGGATGATCCAATTCCGGAAGGTTTCAACCCAAAATTAGAGCATTATTCCTTTAGGGCTTCGTACATGAGCATACCTGCCAGCTCGACATTGGGTTCTCAACAAATTCTTGCCAGCGTCATGGAGACTCACAAAGAGAGAATCTCTAAAGCCATAACACTAAACTATTTCGAAGATTCGAATGGTAACAAAGTTCCGATGACAATGACCAAGCTAGGATGCACCGTGGAATCTGACGAGGGCTCGGCGAACAAGAAGCTCTACGGAAACCTTCACAACTTTGGGCACGTGGTCATCGCTCTAATCAACGATCCTGATGAGAGATACGGCATAAAATTCGGAGCAATGATGGACCAAATTACTGCCGCTAGAGATCCCGTGTTCTTCAGATGGCATAAGTTCGTTGACAGCATATTTGAGGAATACAGAGAGTCAGATCACATTCTACCCCATACAATTCACGATCTTAAGATGGAGGGAATAGAGGTTGATACTGTCTCTACACAATGTGAGCCTGATAAAGAATTGGATTCTAAAGATCTAGTTGACCGACTCTACACCAAGATGATAGAAAAGAAAATCACTGTTTACGTGGACAAGACGGAAAAGAACCCGCTCAAGTCGATGCTGCAGTATTACCCGTTCAACTACCACTTCACAGTTCGAAATAAGCGCGAGGAGAAAGCCTCACTCGTCTTCAGAGTGTTTCTGGCCCCGATAAGATATGCTGAAGACTTGGACGCAAGGAGGAGAGATTTTGTAGAGATGGACAGGTTCGTGGTGGATATAGACGGTGGGTCAGAGCAAACTATCACCAGATCATCTGAAGATTCCTCAGTTACTCTCCCTCCTACCGTTACAGTCCAGGATATACAAGATGGAAAGTGTGGAGATTCTCCTTACTCTCCATGCGGATGTGGTTGGCCAAGAAACCTGCTGGTCCCCCGGGGAACTTCTCAAGGCATGTGGGCAGATCTCTACGTGTTGGTGACTGACTGGAAGAAGGATGCAGCTAACGAAGATACATATCTGAGTGCAAGTGTGGCCTACTGTGGAAAGAGGAAATCCGAATACCCAGATAAGAAACCAATGGGGTTCCCGTTCGATAGGAAATTTTCAAAATCAAAATTCCCTGACTTGGAAAAGATGGTAAAAGATGTGCCTAATAGCGCTACAAAGCAGATAAAGATCATATTTCTGGAAAACTCCGACTAAACTTACGAAACTTCTCTACCTTTGTCATCATCTAAAGGAGCCTACATTCATTCTTCGCAAAAAAGACAATTGGTTCTTGTTAGATTTGTATCTTCTTTTTTATCTTATTTTAACATTCTTGTTAAATTAATTGTTGGTAGCTGTGATGGGCTCCTCGTGCAGAAATGCATGAATATCTTCCTCCTCGCTGACACTTGTGTGAGCTTGGATAAGCATCATGAGCGAGATTTGTCAGGTAACTGGCTATCCCGTGAATGGAAGCTTGTATACAAATATTTTTTGAAATAACCTTATTTTTTGAAATAACCTTATTTTTTGATTTGATGTATGAGTTCATTTCATGAAGAATTATAAACATGTTATGAACTATTTTTTATTTTTAATAAATATTGTAAAAATATCCGTTACCTCTTAAAAGCAATATCACTTTTAATTTGTAATAAATTGTTCTAATGATATCATAATTATGTGCAGATGTAATGAGCCGTTGGCGATCAAAATTAAATATTGACTTGATGCAGCTTGCAAGGCAAGCAGTAAAAGCTATCGAATAATCGATCATAATTGCAATAAAGAGGATAAAAATCCGGTACAAAAATCTAAAACTAACGAAGTCAGAATTTGGTATTTGAACTGACTTGCAACGTTTGTGGCACTGGCCTCATGTGATTGATAATACCAACATAATATTAATATATAATGACCGTGGGAATCAAGAATAAGTTGTAAAATAACTTAAAGTACCGACCTTTCTTGGGTTCCTGAGTTGCGAGATCCAGCATATTTGACACAGCGGTGGGTGTTCTGCCATTTACGAAGAAAACGTCCACTTCTCGGCTCTTCTCCTCATTTTCATTGGGCAGTAGGATCACGTGAGCGTTGGAACCCCCGAATCCAAAGGCGTTCAGAGAGACCAGCCCGTTACCTTCCAACGGTGTGGGCTCTGTCTGGGATCAACTGGTTAAAACTTAAAACAGAAGTCACATTTTGTTACATTTAAGTAGTTACAATACAGTTGGAGCAGACGTTCCTACCAATCTGAACAATAATATGATCAAGTCAAAACACAAGGAAATATTGTAGAGCCATAAATAGTGCAACCAGCCCGCACAATGGACAATGCACACAGTTCCCAACCACTACGATTGGCTACACGTTCCATTACACCACCAACAGTCTGGAACCTTTGAGACCTACCAGTGAGGTACCGTGTTTTCACACAGCACCCGCTAACACAAATTACACGTCCAGCAAAGCGCTATTTGCACTTGCAGCGAGTATCATCTGTCCGGTGTGCAATGGAAAGACTCCACCCGGTGGCAGGACCTGAAAGATCGTCCTGAACCACGGCGCCAGGTTAGTATGAAATGAACTGTCTACAGTGTGGCTTACAAAGGTGCATAATACAATATTTCCTTGTGTTTGAAGACTATCATACTCATCGTGGCAAATGCAGCAAATTATTGAATGTTGATCTTTCTAAAAAAGCAACAATGATCGTTATGAAATTTTATAATTTATCAACGTTATATTAATTTATTGAGTGACGAGCGCGGAATCATAAGGCCTGTGTTGACTGATATACTGTATATGATTATAATAATTTATTTTGCTACGCTTCGATGCGGAAATTATACAGTGTGGGCCGCTTAATAAGGGTAATTTTTTATCTGATATGCGGTAATGTTGAACATTAGTCAGCTGACACCAAATTAGGCAGATACTCAAATTAAAATAGGCGCTAGTAGTGGCATACCTCGTTTTTTAAATGATGCTTGAAGTTCATTCACAGGTCTATCATTTGCTATTTTTAGAAGCATGTTATTCCCGAATTCTAAATTGGAGCAGTAAAATCTAATCTATAATGGGTAAACAGCTGCAATTTGCACTGATTAATTGATTACATAATTGTTGTTGACAAGATTTACACTGCGGACTGAATACTTAACCTTGATCACCGTACACCAACGTATATTTGTACAGTTAAACATTGTACAAAGAGCAGCCAAATATTTAATAATAAATATCTGGACGGGTCCCAAAAGTTTCCCACCCTACTTCTTTTGCACTTGCTTATTTGCATTTTATGATTTATCTTGACTCTTTAACAGTGGAAAATGAGCCAACTAATACCCTAAAGATCACGAGAAGCCGGAGAGTAATTGTTACTAAATACATTTATACATGTATACATTGTGCATATTATATGTATACATTATACATGTATGCATTGTGTGCATTATATGTATACATTACACATGTATACATTGTGTATATTATATTTATACATTATACATACATAAACATTGTGTATATTATATTTATACATTATACGTGTATACATTGTGTACATTACAGCAACCCGATTCAAATACTCACCACAATCTTAAGTCGGCCCTGGATTACAGCCTCCAACTTTGGGTTGATCTCGTTCAGATGGATGTTTGGTGGTATGACACCTTTAGTATAGGACATCAGGACTTTGCAGAGACTTGCTACACCGGAGGCGGGCTCAGCGTGCCCCAGGTTAGACTTGATGGATCCAATCAGAAGGGGCTTATCCTGAGGGATGGAGATTGGGAGATTAGATTGGGAGATTAGATTGGGAGATTGGACTGGGAGATTAGATTGGGAGATTAGATTGGGAGATTAGATTGGGAGATTAGATTGGGAGATTAGATTGGGAGATTAGATTGGGAGATTAGATTGGGAGATTAGATTGGGAGATTAGATTGGGAGATTAGATTGGGAGATTAGATTGGGAGATTAGATTGGGAGATTAGATTGGGAGATTAGATTGGGAGATTAGATTGGGAGATTAGATTGGGAGATTGGACTGGGAGATTAGATTGGGAGATTATATCGGAAAGGGAACTAACTAGTTACACATTTGCTTTAAAACATTACAGATATTTAACTAGTCACGTGATGAGTAACGTGACTGCAACCCACAGTCACACTTCTTCTTCGTAATTGTAATAATAATTGCTGATAATTGTAGCACAGTCTATGCCACCCACCTTGCTCCGTTTACTGCAGAAGAAATTGTCCACAGCAAGGCACTCCTGGGTGTCCCCAGCCTGAGTACCTGTTCCGTGAGCCTCTACATACACCACATCCTCTTCCGCTACACACGTCCCCTTGTACGCTTCTCTTAGTAGTGAGATCTGGGGGATGGTATTGTGAATCTTAAGGAATTTCAGAAAGAGGGGGTTTTTAGGAAATCGTGGCTATGAGGCGTTTTCTTCTAAATAAACCCACATATTGATGTGATCAACTTTGATACCTAAGAATTCATTTTACTGCTGTCATTATGGGATTATGGGAATGTCCCCAATTCATAAAATCAGGATTTGCCGAAATGTTTGATGCTATGACAGGAGAGATTATGTCATCTTCCTGTGCCCACTTTGTGCAAGTGTTTTGGTTTCTTTATCTCCAAAGAAAGTGAAGCAAAGACATTTTGGAAAACCACATTTTTCTTCTACACAAACTGCGGACCAACCTGACTCCTTGAATCTGGAAATATAATCCCTTCCTCCTTGAACCCATCGTTATTCGTTACACTGTTTACTATCCGGCCATAAATACGTTTTGCTTGACTTCGCCACTGAAGAATTTGTTGTGTAAATAAACCCCAATTTAAGGTACACGATATCTTGAATTTTTCAATGAAGTTCCTGCCATAACTCTTACAGGATATCTAAAATGATGTCAATTGCTATGAAAAATGTTGTTCATTCGCGCTGCATACATATACCAGTATGTACCAGTATGTACCAGTATGTACCAGTATGTACCAGTATGTACCAGTATGTACCAGTATGTACCAGTATGTACCAGTATGTACCAGTATTTACAGTACCTGAAGAAGAACGAGAGAGATACACTCTGCTCTACTGTACCCATCAGCTGATTTATCATAAACACGGCATCCCCTCCCTCCTGAGACCATGTTCATGCGGTGCAGGGCTACAGTCGCCTGGTGATGTGGGGGCCGGTCAGATCACCACTATACATGTACTTGCATTATACTGATACAGTACATATTTCGCTTTTAGTTGAATAAAATAAAGTTTCTTTTCTGTGGTGCCCGTAAGATCCTAAAAACTAAAAGTATCTCGGTTATCTTGAAGACATAACCTGAGGATTGATGTTGAGTTTACCTGAGGTTTGAGGTTGAGGTTACAGCCTCCGATGAGTGCTGCTGATATGTCGCCCCTTTTCATCGCCATTACAGCCGTATCTGAAGATACAATGTATATTGTATGTGTATAATGTATTTTATTGTACACAGAGTTACTGATCGTTACCTTTTACAATTTCAGTATCACACTGTAGGAACTGGAAAGCCAGTCCCTATATTTCAAGTGCTTTTTGAAAATGCCGTACAGAAAATGCTGTACAGTTGAAATGTCTCGCACCCTACTATATGCTTATATGAAGAATTTGTACAATTTACAAAATACAATGAAAAGCAACATAACATACCCAGAACATTCTACTTGAAATTGTAATAATTCAGTCCAGTAACTTTTTTAGGTTCAATGTCACTGGAGATGACTACAATTGAAATATATTTGGCAAGAATCTGAATGTTTTCAGTGTTGAAAGTTTAGTTTCTTAAATCCTAGAGTAGTCATTCGTGTCCCTGATATTTGGGTTAATTCTAACCCTCAGTCCTTTTGAAAATGCCGTACAGAAAATGCTGTACAGTTGAAATGTCTTGCACCCTACTGTATGCTTTTATGAAGAGCAATGAATAGCAAAATACCTAGAACATTCTACTTGAAATTTTAATAATTCAGTCCAGTAACATTACCCAGGGAATAGAGAGAAGCAGAACAACCCGTGTCGTGAGTTTCACTTGGTCCTGTGAACTTAAAATACTCTGAAACCTGTGCAATATAAGTGGTTAGTTAGTGTTTCACTTGGTCCTGTGAACTTAAAATAATCTGAAACCTGTGCAATATAAGTGTGTTTCACTTGATCCTGTGAACTTAAAATACTCTGAAACCTGTGCAATATAAGTGGTTAGTTAGTGTTTCACTTGGTCCTGTGAACTTAAAATACTCTGAAACCTGTGCAATATAAGTGGTTAGTTAGTGGTGCTACATAAACCTGGAGGAGCTCCAGTGAAGGTGCTTACTTTCTGCCAATAAATTATCAATACATTTTATATTTAATTAACTTTTTAGATTTTTCAGTCTTGCCATATTGCGCATTCTCACAAAAAGTGATAAAATTACAAATAACATTACTAATAACTTGACTAATAGTCCTAATAATATTTTGACCTTGTTGGGGAGGGATGTATGCATGCTGTTGAGTAGTCCAGTAGCTGTGATGGTGTTAACATTGTTTGTAAGCGCTTCTCCCGCTTCAACTATGCAATTACCTGTCCAGGATATAATATTAAACATGATCCAATCCTCAAATTGTAACTTTATTTGTTGGATCTGGATTAACATTACGTGTTTGTTGAGGCTAAGTTGGGGAGGCGGTCGTGAGAGATTTTAGATAACTAGACGAGGAAACAATTATCTTGCCAATCAAGCAAAGTCTGAGTATAAACCGATATAAACCCCAGTACATACCGATATAAACCCCAGTACATACCGATATAAACCTCAGCAAATACCGATATAAACCCCAGCAAATACCGATGTAAACCCCAGCATATACCGATATAAATCCCAGTACATACCGATATAAACCCCAGCATATACCGATATAAATCCCAGTACATACCGATATAAACCCCAGTACATACCGATATAAACCCCAGTACATAACGATATAAACCCCAGCACATACCGATATAAACCTCAATAGTCAATACATAGTACATACCGATATAAACCCCAGCACATACCGATATAAACCCCAGTACATACCGATATGAACCCCAGTACATACCGATATAAACTCCAGTACATACCGATATAAACCTCAGTACATACCGATATAAACCTCAGTACATACCGATATGAACCCCAGTACATACCGATATGAACCCCAGTACATACCGATATAAACTCCAGTACATAACGATATAAACCCCAGCACATACCGATATAAACCTCAATAGTCAATACATAGTACATACCGATATAAACCTCAGTACATACCGATATGAACCCCAGTACATACCGATATGAACCCCAGTACATACCGATATAAACTCCAGTGACCAGTACATACCGATATAAACCTCAGTACATACCGATATAAACCTCAGTACATACCGATGTAAACCCCAGTACATACCGATATAAACCTCAGTACATACCGATATAAACCTCAGTACATACCGATGTAAACCCCAGTACATACCTATATAAACCCCAGTAGGAGTATTCTCCAAACTCTTAGGATCACACCCAGCATCCACAATGGTCTCCCAAGCCACTTCAAGCATCACCCTGACATCCGGAGCACACTGGTTAGCTTGATCTGCGGTGAAGTTGAAGAATGGGGCATCAAACCTGCTGATGTCCTTCAGTTTTCCAAATGTGTCCACTTCAAATACACCCACTGGCCACCGTCTGTCTGTACAGGGACATGTTTTATCAAATACTGAGTTCAATTAAACTTGTTTACGGCAAAGTACACGGAAGCAACAAATCATTTCTACACATGTCACAATAAACTTAACCAAGATAAGGTTAAAGGATGAAATTAATTAAACTAATTGAAGAAACAATAAAGATAAGAACTACCGTCAACTTTTATCATGTCCTCCCTAGACATGAGGTTCTTCCAGAGTTCATCCAGGGACTCCGACTCCGGGAACCGTCCGGACATCCCGGAGATAACAATCTCATCCTCCGCTCCTTTGGTAACACTTCGCATGGGTAACTACGGAGGAGATTGGTGAAGGTAAATCTGGCTGAAGGTGGATCACAGTTCTGCAGTTAGTTTATGAGTATAAGGCCAGGAATACACTCGCAAATAGATACTATAAAAGCTTTTTTCAATGCTGAAAGTTGGAGTTTTGCACAAAACTGAACACACCAGCTCCATCACATTGAGAAGATGATATAAATCTTTATGATCTGGTTTATAAACCATGGTAGAGTGCGCTATTTAGAAATTACTGTCCCACTCAATATGTAAAAGCTGGTAGCTTACTCTGTGGTGTCACTTTCAGCAATCATACCAATCAGCTCTCTCCATTTCGTTCAGTCCACCAATCAGCAGCTAGTATCGGGTCACATGACCACGTGCAGCATCACGTGGGTTGCTAGGGCAACAAGTGAAGACACCTGAAATGGATACTACAGAGAATTACCGGATTAGAGGAGAAATCCGGGCGTGAACAATGATATTTTGTTTGCGGAAATTTGCTTTATTCACATCCTGTCCGGTATTACCACATTTAATTTTAAGCGTCTGTCTGGTAAGGTTCTCGGGTCAACTTAAAATTAGAGCGAAAGAAATGGTTTACATACCGCGTGAGCCAGCGTATGGGGTAGGGGTTTGGAAATGCTCACCCAATGTACTGGTTACACACGATATCATTTATCTATAGAGCTATAGGTTATTACTGATTACTGAGGGGAGAGCGGATCTAAAATGGCCTAAATCAGGCTTACGCAATATGTGCACCATCCATTAGCTCACAGTTTAAGGTACGTGGTCACTTTGTTACACAATGGAATGCTTGTAGCAATCATCAATGTTTGGTGGTGTATACTGTATAATAATGTAACTTAAGGTACCAAATAGAGTATTCATCATGGGTATCCGCGTGGTTACGAGGACTTTGTCAAGTTTTGAATGGATAATTAAAATGGTAGCACTGCTATAACACTGTATAAGTTGAATCTTTAAACACTTATTACATTAGTCTGGAATCTATTTTAAAATAACTCGAAGTGGTGAATCAATTCATAAATACCCTGAATGTTGAACAACAAAATTAAAATATGGTAGGATTGTATCCCAATAACAGTCACGAAAAAAAATGTGCGGTCGGTGCCCACGCAGGTTGAAAATTTCACAAATCAAATATATATCCTGAAAAGAAGCTGTCAGAAAATAGAGTTGCACCTCTGCCGAACTTCTACAGTTAAAAGTTAAAAAGCATAAAAGAAAATAGACAGTGTACACATTCCCCACTATAGTTTTTGGCCTCTGCAAAAAAACCCTTTTTACAAATTGTAACATTTTCAAATAATACAATAAAACCCCCTAGTTCAATAGTTCAATAAACATCACCGCTTTGGATCTTCCTATACCTATAAAGCAGACTGAACCCAATAATAACCACATTGAACGCCAGCAGAGACAAAGCAATCTCAACTAATCTGGACTGCATCTCTCGTTTCATGTGGGGAGTTAGCGATTTAGCATACTCGTTCCGCCTTTTAAACTCGAACTTCATCTCGCTTTCTTCAGTTTTGTTGCATAGAGATAAGGTGTACACATCATAAATATCAGCTGATACTGCAGGGAAACATTGCTTCTCTTTCGGCAGCTTATACGTGGGGAACAGTCCGGGGGGAGCGGAGATGGTGACACATTTCTCCACCTTACAGTTCCCCTTCTCACAGGATAAATTCTCCCAAGTTAAGTCAGTGGTAATGTAGTAACGCTCGGAAGCGGAATTGTCGATAAGGACATTGTGTACGGAGCGTTCGTAGACTAATGCAGTGGAACCGTGAATTTTAGTCAGGAGGGACACTGTACTGTAGTTGGTAAGATTTGGGCTGTCGAATCTCTCTTCACACAGACTGTAAGCTGACAGGTTGTGTAGTAGCCTGGGGAGGAGGTGAGATTAAAGGATTCAAAATAATTGTTGAAATCATCTCTAGATAAGCTTTAACTATTAAACATCCGAGGGAAGTTTCAGCGCGGATCAGTTTTCTAGAATGCCTCGGCCGATTAAGGAGTAGTTCGCAATACAACGGCCACCATAAACTGGATAGAGTCGGTACCCACTATACCTGGTACCAGTGTACCACTCGGTACCCTGCACTACCGGTACCAGTCCAGTGTACCACTCGGTACCCACTATACCTGGTACCAGTCCAGTGTACCACTCGGTACCCACAATACCTGGTACCAGTGTACCACTCGGTACCCTGCACTACCGGTACCAGTCCAGTGTACCACTCGGTACCCACTATACCTGGTACCAGTGTACCACTCGGTACCCACTATACCTGGTACCAGTGTACCACTCGGTACCCACTATACCTGGTACCAGTCCAGTGTACCACTCGGTACCCACTATACCTGGTACCAGTGTACCACTCGGTATCCTGCACTACCGGTACCAGTCCAGTGTACCACTCGGTACCCACTATACCTGGTACCACTCCAGTTTACCACTCGGTACCCACTATACCTGGTACCACTCCAGTGTACCACTCGGTACCCACTATACCTGGTACCAGTCAAGTGTACCACTCGGTACCCTGCACTACCGGTACCAGTCCAGTGTACCACTCGGTACCCACTATACCTGGTACCAGTCAAGTGTACCACTCGGTACCCACTATACCTGGTACCAGTGTACCACTCGGTACCCTGCACTACCGGTACCAGTCCAGTGTACCACTCGGTACCCACTATACCTGGTACCAGTCCAGTGTACCACTCGGTACCCTGCACTACCGGTACCAGTCCAGTGTACCACTCGGTACCCACTATACCTGGTACCAGTCAAGTGTACCACTCGGTACCCACTATACCTGGTACCACTCCAGTGTACCACTCGGTACCCACAATACCTGGTACCACTCCAGTGTACCACTCAGTACCCACTATACCTGGTACCAGTGTACCACTCGGTACCCACTATACCTGGTACCACTCCAGTGTACCACTCGGTACCCACTATACCTGGTACCAGTGTACCACTCGGTACCCTGCACTACCGGTACCAGTCCAGTGTACCACTCGGTACCCACTATGCCTGGTACCAGTCCAGTGTACCACTCGGTACCCTGCACTACCGGTACCAGTCCAGTGTACCACTCGGTACCCACAATACCTGGTACCACTCCAGTGTACCACTCAGTACCCACTATACCTGGTACCAGTGTACCACTCGGTACCCACTATACCTGGTACCAGTCCAGTGTACCACTCGGTACCCACTATACCTGGTACCAGTGTACCACTCGGTACCCTGCACTACCGGTACCAGTCCAGTGTACCACTCGGTACCCACTATACCTGGTACCAGTCCAGTGTACCACTCGGTACCCACTATACCTGGTACCAGTGTACCACTCGGTATCCTGCACTACCGGTACCAGTCCAGTGTACCACTCGGTACCCACTATACCTGGTACCAGTGTACCACTCGGTATCCTGCACTACCGGTACCAGTCCAGTGTACCACTCGGTACCCACTATACCTGGTACCAGTCCAGTGTACCACTCGGTACCCACTATACCTGGTACCAGTCCAGTGCAGTACCACTCGGTAGGCCTTAATGAGAATTGAGATAGTAAACTTCCTTTGTGGTGGGAAGGCACATGGCACTGCTACTTAACCTCATTAACTAATGCCTATGCCCTATACGTGGTGATGAAGTAATAAGGGACAATTACGGTGGTTAAAGTTATCAGTACAACGAAAGTATAACACATCCAGTCATGCCTTAGTTCAGTGATTTCTAAATGTTTTCGAGAGGAACGTACGTGCGCGCGGACAAGTCTATTCTCAGACCACGTCATGTGACTTGTACTGTGTATATTATCGCGAATTCTCTAAGTTATTATCCATGTCACATACGAACATTAGGGACGTTTCTGCATATACTAATGGCTGTTGAAGGTAAAGGCGGTGGGGAATATATCATAAAAGTGTTTCGCTCCACTACGCTAAGTTTTCAAGAGTATCACCTTAAAATGTGTGCTAATTTTGTTAAGATTTCCGGTGGATTCTTCACAGATCCCAGCTGTAGCCCAAAATTGGCAATATCCCAAATCTTAAATTATGGGGATAAACTCAAAAGATGGGGTCCAACCTCATCGATGCTCACTTGACCAATATTTGAGGAATAAATGGGCAAAATGGACATCATTTTCATCATTTATCGGTCAATATAGGTCAAAATAAAAAATAAATATTTCTGATACCATACTCGAGCTTAAATTGTGAAGTTAAACCACCAACAAACCTGTTATAATCTGATGGCATGCTGTGATCAGGCGCGGATGAGAACTCGTAATACACAGCGTTAATGAGCAGATACACAGCAAATGCGGTGGTGCAAAACATGGCCGTCACTCCAGGAGGGTAATCCTTGAACAGGAAGTCTTTCAGAGATGACATTCCCACCTGAACGAGGGTTAAATGCAGTTGGATTCTAAAGTTATGTTTTCTAAATAATAATTGAAATCAAGTACCCTTCTTATAAGCTGTATCTTTTATTAACTCATTGCTCGAGAATACAGTCCTTACTGCTCTAGATGGAAAATGTTAAGCAGATTATAGCTTGTTAATTTGCTTTTGATAAAACTTTACTTAGGAAGGAACAGGAACATTATCATTGGAGTGCAAGTTTGACAGGTACAGTAGACGATCGGGCGACTCCTGTCCGACTCCGAAATTCGGTTTTTCGGACAATAGTTCATGTCGGATCCTACCATACGATTTTCTTGAAACTTTCCATAAAGTATGATAGCTATAAGACGAATAATCTGTGCAAGTTTGGGTAAATTTGTATGTGCCAAAATTGAGATATCACTTCAAACACAAAAAATATTGCTGTCGGACAGGAGTCGCTGTCGGACAGGAGTCGTTACCACAGTAGACAACTGTTCATGTTTTGTTATGTGCCATTTAAAATTAAATGTGAAGCAGTCAGCAAAAGTTTGTACAATAAAACAACATCATCAAAAGTAAAGTTTAAATAGAGTAACTCAAAAAGAGAATATAATGAAATTTAACACCATTCAGGATAAATAATAACCCTTAAGAGTTATTTGATAAGTTTTTAATGTAACTTATAATATGTACTAAAGAAATAAAATACACTGAACTGCGTCTAATAAAATATTTGTCCAATACGTAGCTTCAAATTTAATGAAAGCTTTGACATTTGGGATGTTCCATTCGGTATATAGATCCGATTAAAAGATTTTCCCTAAGGGATCATTCACACATTACGTTAGCCAGATTTTGGTCATTCCCACTTCCCTCCTCCGTAACAACGTTTACACAAAGCTATTGTTTGCGTAATATGTGAAAGATCCCTAAGACGATTGAATGGAGAGAATAACACTTTTTACATTTTTTGAAAAACAAAGTTGGAATTTAAAAAGTGAATTATTAACAGAAAGAAATTTTACTCGTCAAGCTTCTAGTTACCCACCTGTGTATATAATTATAATAACAATCTCATCTCTCCAGAGATAAAATACACAACAAATTAAAAAGGACTTGTAGTATACAGCTAGAGCTTCTGCCCATGTGATTTAAATCAATTACAGTAATTTAAATAAATTACATAAATCCACCTAAATCAGTTTAAGGGTCACTAAGAACCTGGTTTTAATCATTTCAACAATTGTGTTCATTCCGGGTCACCGTAAATCATTGATATTTACCTTTTCACAGGACACGTGTATAAATTACTACCAACATAGACGTGTTTCTTCTGATATCTGTCTTTGGTCGCACTACTTCATTGTCTTCATCGGTTTTGATAAGACCACCATAGTATACAAAAGACGCTCTACAGACCATGGGTCACACAAGGAAGCTGCACTTGACATTCTTCTCACACCACATCAGTTTCACTGTACTTTATTTCCTTCCAAACGATTTAATTTAAACCAACTCTCTCACAGCCAGTAATTCCCCTCATCCATGTACTCATCCTCATACCGGCCGGGTGAGTCCCGTCGGTCACAGTCCAACTTAACGTCCCTGTACTGAGTGCATCCCAGAGTGTGATCCAGAGATGACGTCATGATCATGGGCTCGTACGGGTGCCAGGACACATCTCTCACAATACTATTGTGGCACTCCCCTGGTCCCTGCTTGCTCTTGTGAACCACATCCCCGCTCAATATATCCCAGATGAACAGCTGGCCGGTGGAGCTCCCGGAGTATATGTATTTCTGTAAAGTGGAGAAAGCAGGGGAGAACCTAGCTCGGATAAGAGTGTAGGAGACAGTGTGGCCTGTGTAGGTTTGGACACTGTCGTCCACATCTATGGGGTCGAACTGGGACCGTTTCTTGTCCACGTAAGTGTGATACTGGTCTATACGCAGACTGGGCCGCACCTGACGGTAATCCCACAACTGGGAGTTGGTGCGCACTACTTTCTGAGCATGTTTCAAGTCGCTCAACTTAGAAGGACGTCTTGTGTCCCACAGCTTTATTGTTTGGTCCTTGCTGTTTGTTATTATGTTCCTGAAATCCCCCTTAGAGTCCAACCATGTTATACCATGTCGGTGTCCTACAAATACAGAGATAGGCTCGGGATGACTTTCACTCAAAATTCTGCGATCCCAGATTTTCAGGATGCCATCATCTGCAGCGGAGTATATTATGTGATTTGTTTGATTAGAAAAAGTAATGGCACTTAAATCTGCTATATGAGCATTATCGATAGAAACTGCCTTGACTCCAGTTTGAAGATCGTATATAATCGCCCTCCCATCATTAGTTCCGGCAATCAGCTCGCGGCTGTCAGCAGAGAAAGAAACACCAAACGCACAGAAAGCTGAGTAGTAGGACTGGTGATCAGAGAGACTCAGGTACATCTCAGTGTTCTTCTTGGAGCTATTTGGACTGCTCTGGAAGGGAAGAAGATGAACATTTCCACTCCACGAACTGTACGCTATAAACCTGCTGTCAGGACTCAACTTACAGTCAATAATACTCCACTGGATGTCCCGGCAAGCGTATGTCTTGAGGATGTCCATGGACTTGTGGCCCACTTTATATACCGATATCTCACCGGACTTGCACGCACACATGAAGTGCCGGCCGTCTTTGGAGAACTCCCCACAGTACACATCCTGTCCGTATCTGTCTAGGATGGAGAAGTTAGTGGGAAGCAGGTGGGGGACTATTTTACCGGAGGGGTAGTTTGCTACTGTCTGGTATTTACGCTCCTCTAGCTCCCGGATTATGTTCCGTGGTTTAGTGTTCATGATATGTTGTTGTTATGGGGTCATGTTGCAGTTTCTGGGTGGAGTTAGTGTTGTTAAACTTACTGAATTTGTATCTTCATAACTAATGTTAGATTGGAAAAATCTGTTGAATTATGATTTTTCTTGAATTTAATTTCAATATCCAGCTCAATTTCATGTTGCAGATTTTTTGAGTTCGATAGATATCAATAAAAGGAAAGTAATAAGATCTATAATAACATGAACTTAATTTCAAACTTTAGCCATATTAATTATTCAACTAAAAATATAACATTAGCGCTTTAAGTGTACAAAAGTAAACTTCTTTAAATGAAATCTTAAAACTTGCAATTTGTTATCGATTTGCTCTTTTGGCAGTAAAAATTTCAAAAAACTTTTTTATTCAACAAATATTATTCGAAATTAAATCTAAAACTATATCAATAATTTACTACACATGAGATGAACTTAATGTACTACTTGCACTTTCTATCGATGCATGATAAAACGTCCATAAATAAATAATTTATATAACTAAACATAATGAAATATAATAGAAAACATCAGAAATTCAAGGCAAATCGTTTTTAAATACATGATGAAGGGAGTGAGTATAAACAGTTATATGAGAAATATCATACATAAATAGGAGATTTGTCATAAAGATTATTATAGTATTTAACCAAAGGCTAACGTTACACGACCTCAGTAAACATAACATAAGGTTATGAACGAACGATTAAAGTTCATTCTACAATTGAATGTTTGCTAGATAGCAATGTTCGATAAAATGAGTTCATGAAATAACTCATTATAAATAATATTATTTAAAGTAGAATAATATAAATAATATCGATTATAAATTATGGGTATCCTGACTTGAAATATGTGCTCAATTCTTATTGTGACAAAAATGCAACCATAATTGGACCACGGTCACGGTGGCCTAAAAAAATTCGACCAAATAATGGAATCGTTCAACAGTAAGTTTGTTCAATCCTATACCAATTATAGGATCGTCTCAGCTAAAGTCAAACTGTAAAACATCATTAAAACCATTTTGATAGAGCTCCTGTAAGGGCCTCAAATACCCATTAGCTAAAACAGCAGATCTATAAATAGCATCATGCATCAACATTACAGTATATTACACAGTATTTAAACCCACAAATAGCCCGTATTAATATAAAGGTCTGGTAAGTTCTATAAGTATAACATGATGAACATGCCCCTCTTCCATGAGTTCCATACTCCCAGTGTTTACAACAGATCATGGCCCAGTTCTACCTTCTCTTTACCTAACCCGCCTGGCGACAGAGCCAACCAGCCTTCCTCCGGCCACTGCCAGCCTAGCCATAGTGTGCATATCCCTTCTCGGAGGAACTGCCGTATGTAGCTTCCTATTAGCTCCCACTGAGGTAACCAAGCTGTGGTGTTTGGTAAAAGTAGCTCGTTTTGAACTGAACGGATGGAACACAGACTGGCTGTCAGTGTCTGGTTTTGAATAGGTCTTGAAGCGGTTGAGGAGGTTGCGTGTAAAGCCAAGTCCGCGCACACTGTTACCGTAGTTGTCGAGAGGTGGAGACCACATTGCTATGCTACCAAGGTTGGGTAGCACCGCCATTATAACACCTGCAAGGGGAGAGGTGAGTTCAATTTAAATAATAACATATGAACCACGTTCCTACTGCACTGTTGAGAAAATATCAAGCTAGATTGATTACTGAACAACGAACATAACTAAAAGAAGGTAGATAGAGCTAGAGTGCAATAATAACGAACCAGAAACGCCTGATTTAGCAGGCAGCCCAAACTCGAAGGACCACTCCCCAGAATAGTCATACATTCCACAAGAGTACATGAGAGATAACGTGTTCTGTACTGTTGATGTAGTCAACACCTGTTTTCCTGAAACAGACGAGTACGTTGGAAATTGTCAGATATTTTTTACAAACATAAAATATTTAAATAAATGATTCATATGATATATCTTATTCGCGAACCACCAGCAAGCGCCAATTAAGAGCCAAAGCCCGGCGCTCGCCCAAAGCCTAGTAAAACATGAATAAGAATTAAGAATATGTAATTTAATCGTAAGATTGAATTAACTAGCACCGTATATAATATGCTAAATATATTGGCCAACTGTCTCGAAAGATCCGGTTTAGTAAAAACCCCACGGGATTAGCAGGAGAAAATCTAATAATGAGCTCCCTTGATAAAATGCAACAATAAACAACTCAAACATAACCATAAACAAGCAGTAGCATAAACTATAACATTAAACTATTAATAAATTAGAATAAAATTAAACAAACCAGTAAACACATTCCGTCCCCCATTAGCCAGTGTAGCCCCCATCGTACACACGGACCTAGTATCCACCTCGATAGAGCACAGCTGGAAGTACAGCTCCAGTACCTCCATCAGTCGACCAGTGGAGGAGGCGTTAATACATCCCTTGTTCAGCAGATAATGACCTATCGCGTAGTTTCTGTGTCCGTTTTGTTTCTCTGATAGATACACTACGTTGTTGAAGGAAATACCGTTGGGGTTGATGCCGGAAGCAAGCTGCTTGTACTTTGCATAGCAAGATTCGAACCTCTCTGATATGGGGTCGTCAGGACGGACCAGACTGGATACCGTGATCGCTCCTATGTTGATGAGAGGATTGTGAGGGATTTCTTCGTATCCGAGTTTAATCTTATTGAACCCGAACCCACTCGGTTCCTTCCCCACATACTTATGCACAGTATCAGAGCCGACTTCATCGCATGTTATACCGTAAAGAATAGGTTTAGTGACAGACTGGAGAGTAAAGGGGTCCTTGTAGTCCCCCAGAGCCAGAACCTGACCATCTATGGAACAGAAGGAGACAGACCACTTGTCTATGTCATAGCTGGACAGACCCGGGATATAAGTTGTTATCTGGCCCGAATTATCGTCACTCAGAGACTCGTACGCTGATATCAGGTCCTCCTTGAATGAGGCCCAATCCTGGACTACCAGGTCACCCCTCAGCACTTGTTTAACTACTGCGTACCCGTTGATAAGTTGAGTAAACTCCTCTGGAGGTACTGTACTACGGAGGTTTTTGGAGACCAGACTGTGGTGTTGGCCGTTGATTCTGTTGTCTGGGGAGACTGAGAGAGCACTCACGAACCCTTTTAACCTGACGAGAACATATAATTATGTTTTAGCTTGTGGATTTTTACGTAACGTTATCATTTAGGATGCGGTATTTTTAGTGGAATAGCCCTACGTTACTGACGAAGGTGTCGAAGGGTTGAGTGTCGTAAGTAAAACACGCAATAATTATACGTAATGATAAGATTTGACGAGAAGGATAACAAACCACTGACCTACAATTAAAAAAGGATTGCCAGCAGACATGTAACTTACGAGCAACACTACAATTCATTACGATATGTAAGTACTATAAATAACTGCACAATTCTGAGTATCGGCACCTCGGGTCTTTGAACAAAAGGATGCCGTTTTCATAAAATCTGTCCACAAGTTTCTCAACGATGATGTTTCCGCTGCCATCACACAAATCTGTTAAATTCAGCTCAGCCATCTTACATTCCTCTATTCCTGTACATAACGCTTGTTTATTATACATACTAGCAGGAACCCGTATAACCCTAAAATGGTGTCAAGACTCAAGAGACTAAAATAATTATTACCTATTTAATTCGCGTTTTTGACACCACTTGGGGGTCCAAATTTTGGGCTCTAAAACTCCTATTTCTTGGCCTATTTTTTATTTTTTCATACTGATTTGGAGGCCATTAAAGCATTTGATCCAATCAAAAAAGTTTCAGTTGTATATCTTTTACGGTTTTTACGGAAAGTCGCGTTAAAGTTGATGCTGTGGTGTCAGTAAAATGGCACGGAACCATATATATCGTCTCGCTTTATATATAGTAAGATGTAAAGTGATGTATAGTGAATAGTGATGTATAGTGATGTATAGTGATGTATAGTGATGTATAGTGATGTAAAGTGAATAGTGATGTAAAGTGAATAGTGATGTATAGTGAATAGTGATGTATGGTGAATAGTGATGTATAGTGATGTATAGTGAATAGTGATGTATAGTGATGTATAGTGATGTATAGTGATGTATAGTGATGTATAGTGATGTATAGTGAATAATGATGTATAGTGATGTATAGTGAATAGTGATGTATAGTGATGTAAAGTGAATTGTGATGTAAAGTGAATAGTGATGTATAGTGATGTATAGTGAATAATGATGTATAACGGGTGATGACTAAAAAATGGGACTTTTTTCAAGGGTCTTTTTAGTGTCGATAAAACTATTTTTGGTTCAAACCAATGAAACAGCGTTGTAAAACGGGCAATTTTGAACGAGTATGGTCAATGACAAGCGCCCATGAGCCCATTTTGATTGGTTCAGGAGGGCTTCTTTCATCAAGCTCAAAAATCCGTCTGTACAGTTGGGCCTAAAATTGTGTTGGCGCAGTCTCTTCTTTTGTGCCCTAAGGCCCATGTATGCTTGTAAGCCATATTCCGGGCATGTACATGTGTTGCCAGGACTCTAAAGAAGTCCTCTATGGGTTGAGATTGTCAAAATTTACTTTGGTCGATAACTTTTGGGACGAAATTGGCCCTTATGGCAAATAAAGATGTGGTTTTCCCAGAAAAATACGATCTAGCCCCATCCTAACGAACCACCTTCCACCCTTTGGGGATATTTTCTTGTAGGAACAACACCTGGCAAGGCTTCAAGCACTTTGATTTTTACGTGGTACCATTATAGACCATGCTAAAGCCGATAGATGACCTAGCCTCGATCTTTCACACGGTAAAATTTTACCCCTCAGGTGGTTTTGAGCTCAAATATCTTCTTACTGGTTTTAGCTACGCTGATGGGTGTTGAACCCTCGTCTTAAGCATAACATTCGGCATACTCTCTGCTAAATATTTTTTGGTATGGAAGCTTTAACTACCTGTGAGGCGACTTCTGTGAACAGAGCTTTACTGTAAAGTTTTTATAGGACCCCTCCCCTAGTTCGAGACCATTATCGGGGACAAAGATCAACCAATTTTATCAAATGGGGGTGGAAACTGTTCGAGTATCGTTCAGAGTAACTGCCTGGTGGTTGTGGTAAAATATCAAAATTTTGTTCAGGTGGAATCTGAGGGCTAAAAAACATGTAGTCCCATTTTTTATTCATCACCCGTTAGTGATGTAAAAGAGAGTACCATTTTAATGTAATCTCCTTTTGATAGACAGTTTTGTTGATACGTTTTTTTCATGTTTCAAGAGGCTTTGAGTGTGACTTTACTTCTCTTGCAATGTTATTGTTAAAGTGGAATTAATGTCCACTGTGAACAGTCAAGCGAAGCACTAGAGTAGAAGCAAATAAACACATACCTATTTGCAGAACATTTGAAATTAGAACAGCACATTGTACAATGTACATAAATTTATCATAGTTTATCTATCATGTGCGGCAGTTGACGAATAGTTGGGAGGCGAAGCATATCTCTCATGACACGTGATGACGTAACATTGATTATCCAATTAGCTCCGGGCTACAACTAACTAAATTCGCGAATCACTCTCACGTGTCAAGAAAGGATATGCGCCACCTTTCTACCAGAGTACCAGTAATAAACTCCATTAAACACACTTTTATTACAAATGAAATTCAATTTAATATTAAGTTCTTTGCAATTCAAATCAACCGGTGATTATATGAGCAGTGGCAAATCAGTAATAAACATTTGAAAAAAATCTTTTTATTGATAGAAAACAACTGCCTGATGTTAAAATTAACTGTGAAATACAATAAATAAATCAATTTATATGGGACCACGACAGATATCGTGAAATATCAAAAAGGCGTTGATTAATCTTTATTCTTCCATAATATTAATTATTAACTGCATTTAATCTAGATTTACATGTGATAGCAGTTCACGTAAAAAACAACTTATTTATTTGTGTTGGATTATTCCTTCCAAGAATGGGGGAGTGACGGTCTATATATCAATAACACTGAAAGAATGATCTAAAACAAAGTTCAATTAGCTCTTATTTAGAGAAAAACAAGATAAATACATTTTACTAATAGTACTACTGCCCCCCCCCCCCCCTCCCACAATCACAATACTAAACAACTATTTCAAATGATGTCTAATATTTAACCGAACCGAATCATAACAAAACATACCTCTACAAAACAATAACCCACAAATCATGAAACAAAAACCGATAAAATATGACTAGAGTAGAGTATAAACACCATTATTAAATCAAAGTTCTAAACAAGGGATAGTTAAAAACAACGCCCAAGTCTAATCTTTCCTTCAAAAAATTTATTGTAATTTCTATATCAATATCTCTTGTCATAAGCTAAATTACGGAGATAATACAGATAAACACCAATAACAAGGAAATATCAGACTAACGCTAGCTATTAAATTTAGCATAAATATGTCCCATATTTGTATAATAGTATAATTGTACTTGTATTAGCTTGAATAGTGTTCAACGAATACTTAACAGTGTTCCGCACCTAATCATGAACATTAACAACTCCAAAAATAAAACGTAAAAGCGCTGAAATGTGGAGCAATCTACACTGGCTGCCAAGATTCACATACTTGCCGATTAAACTAAGAAGCGTTTTCCAGTTTAACATGCAACATCTTTAATAAAATTAACAACATTCAACTATCATCACATAACGATGTCACGCAACGTCACATAATAATTCCATATCACGTGACGTCACCATATCACGTGACGTCATCACACCACGTCACGTGACAGCTACAGCAGCAAGGGAGCCGCACAAGCACCCCACCGAGCTAATAAAGCTCTGCCAGGCCCCAACTTCCAGCTGCTCCACAGGACTATTCACTAAACCAGGACTGTACATCATGGCCAGGGAGGAAAGGTAGCCGTTAGAGAAGGAGAAGAAGGTCGTGAATAGGATGGGGTAAATGTCTGAGGAGAAGAGGATGGGAGGTTTGAGGTGTCGGAGGGAGGGGTCGTAGTGGCACATGGTATAGAGGGGTATAAAGAGGAGACGGGAGACAGACAGAGCTACAACCTGCTTCCGCGAGAACACCTGTAATTTAACGGCATTCTCGTAAAATCATAGCAATATCTGGTCCTAAACAACATCCACATTCCACAGGGGCTTAACATTAACACCAAAATCACAATATATGCAGCAGTTAATTAAAATTTCTTTATTCATAATTATCATCATTTTCTTCTTGATAAGAAAAACAATACGAGCTGAGAAAATTAGGGAATCTCACATTTAAACAAAACAACAGCGTTATAACATTCATTTATACGGAACATAATTATAACAAATAACTGATGGTTTGATAATGTTTACTGAGCACGTCAGTTCTTCTCAATACCTCACTTAATGTCAATTATAAATTCCAGCAATTGGTACGAATTCAATTTAAGCCATCAAAATATCCTAGTCCCAAACGTCTCACAATACGGCGTTAAGAGCAAAGGACATGAAAGCCCCACTCATAAGGCCAAGCCCTAACCCAAAGGCCATGAAAGCCCCTGCGGTAGTCTGTTGATCCGAAGGGACCTGTGAAGGACCGTACATCATGGCCAGGGACGCTAAATAACCGTTAGAAAAGGAAAACACTGTCATGAACGCTATAGGGAACGCATCATTGTTAAACCACACCGCTGTAGTTCTCTCGTCAGGGTGATAATTACACATGGCAAACATGGGGATAAATATAACCCTGGTGATAGTCAGTATAACCAGCCACTTCCTGGTCAGCACCTGAACGGACCCGGCCACAGTCCGGCCCACAAAGTCCCCAAAGTTGAAGAGAAGGAAGCAGGTGACTGGGGTGAAGTAGGTGGTTGTCAGGGGGCTGTCAGCTGATACGCTCTTAATGGAGGCTATCACAGCGGGGAATACTGTGAGAGTGACACAGAATGTGGCCCACACGCTGAACAGCATCCATTTTATCTTCTTAATGATGGTCCATGAGGAGACGGTAGGTGCTTTGAATGACCGCGACAACTGTAAATAATGGGGTTTCAGATACTATTTTACAATAGTATGTTAAGGGGTGCAGACCAGATTTCATAATCAATAAAAAGATATAAACATACTCGAATTGTCTACCAAACAATTATCATATAATAGGGATTAAAATATTTCCTCCAATGGTAGTTTTAAAATTGTAGTTGAAATTTTAATATTTTGTCGTAGGATGGTCTCTTTCCGGTTCAATTCATAGTCATTATTTAGGCTGGCAATGTGTAAGCTGCACACTCAATTATAATTTAACGTAAGCTGTCAACGATTGTCCATTTACCAACGACCAACCAGTCGAGATTACATGTTATTACTTTATAACCGAGGATGGTTTGAACAAAATAATCGTTCGTAAAATTAATATTGCCACGTGAATCTGAATAACTACCGTTAGCTCGTGATAAATTTAATAATCAAATAAACTTAAAACTTCTAAAACGTTTACCTCGTCCGTAACTCTATCAAGATAGAATTTAGAGATAGGTAGGTTAAGGAAGATGGGATACATGACCAGTGCTACAATTATCACCAGTGAAGCGGCTAGAAAGTAGTAAAAGCCGCTCTGAATAGGATCTTCGCCTGTAAGAATGGTTATGTTAGTATTGTAGTGTGTGTGCACTTATGTTTTTATAAATACATTTGTCATCAAACTTGAAAAACTGACGAATAAACGAATAAATCACCGATTTAACAAGAAACTAATGATTTATCTTCAACAAAGTAGACACGTGCACATTGCACATTGCATAATAGAGTTGTATTTGAGCTCTATTCTTACCATTAGTAACCATTAGTAACATGCTTACCATTAGTAACTGCAAGAGATATGATACTGGCTACACTAGCAAATATTCCACCTACGCCCTGGCCAGTCATGAAACCCTGGAAACAGAATTCAGTCACACTCCATAGTCGACACACGGACACTAACAACAGTTTAAAGAAGTATTATATCTTTAGACTTTATTACTATTTAAAATGGTTTGGTTGTCAGGGTAACAGGAGTTTTGTAATTATTGAAGTATCAAACTTTAACAACAGGAATACAAAAGACCCACCTGTATGTGTCTGGGAGTGAACGAAGCTGCCAATCCAAAGATACCACCCTGAAAAACTCCAGCACAAGCGTTGAACAACACGACAGTAACCAGCGTCAGACCAAAAAACCCATCCGCCCAGGTGTGGGTGTCTATTTTAACCATAATGGTTGTCATGACGAACATAAGGCACATGACAAGCAGAGAACCCATGATCCTGACAAAGGCAGAGAACCTGTTCTGGAGGGACACGTTGATAAAGAGAAACGCTACGTTTGTTATCTGCGAGAAGATTGTGATGAAGTTCTCGAACTGTTTGTGGACGAAAGGGGACCCCTTCTCGAACTTCTTGTCAAAGTAGCTGGTAGCTGTGATGAACATGTTCCAGGGGAGCAGAGCTGCTAGTCCGAACACCACCATTGCAAGGTAGGACAGGTTGTAATGGTCACGTGGGGGCTGGATCTGACCACCTGGAATCAGGGGCTGGTCTTCCAGCTCATTTTGGAGGTCGTTTTGGATTGTGAAGTCGGGGGTTCGGGCGCGATGCCTTGACATGACTCCTGGGAATATGTTATTAGAGTGGGAGTATGGTAAGAGGTGGTATTTACTGTGTTTTCGTCATGTGAGAATGCTGAGGTCTGAGGATGAGTGAGATAGTAATGCTGATGACGGATTGTCTCGTGAGTTTTCACCGTTTATGATCGTGAGGAAGTGAGCTGCAATTGATGTGCCAAAACCCCCAACTCCAAGATAGGGACGGAAACAGCTACTTTCACAACAAACTAGAAATGATAACGGTATGTGTCATTCACCAAAATCCATTTTAATCTATACAAATTCCTCGTGCTAATGCTATATGGAGCAAGTATACAAAAGTCAAAATGCTTCAAACAATACCTCCAAATAACTGATATAGGATATTGTCACATGCTAACAATACGCACGCGTAAAGATAACATTCTGAAACGGACGAAACATGACGTTAGACACCAACGTTTTATGCAGAACATAATTTTATCTGAAGATAATAATATCCTACTCAAACAACGCGAACGTGACGTTACATTTGCAAGGTCACTTTCAATAGACTTTCAATGGATTTTAAGATTTTTAACTTCATTAGGAACCAGATCGATTAAAGTACTGAACAAAAAGAAAGGAATATGATAGGAACTCCGTTTACAGGCGAGGGTAAGTTACAACCACCCATATGTTAAATCTAATTAACTGTTCATTTATTGCAAGGTGTAAAAGTACATCCAAAAAACACATTAGGACCATTGTCCTGATAAGCTTACACTTCATGTACAATTGAGGTAATGAATCATCAATCAACTCGATCCACTTAACAATTAATCATTAATCAACCAGATTGTGTAAAGATCTTTTCTTGCGTCCTTGTTTATTTTTTGTTAGCTCAAATTGACGCTCTACCAGTTATGTCGAAACAAACGAAAATGCCACCGATATCATATAATACTGAACGTTTTGAAAGTGAAACCGTTTCATTATCTCCTTATCAGAGGAAAACTGCTAAGCACCCATCCAGAAGAATAGATACCAGGATGCAGATGAGTATTGCAAGTGATACAGACTCCCTATCCCCCTTCTTGAATAATCACCCAGAACAAGTCAAGCAACACCAAGCTCAGCGGGAGGAGAGAAAGTGGGGCAAACGGGCACAGAAAATCAGAGTAAAACGGCTAGCGAAATTCTACAACCACCAACAAACCCGACAAAACCCGTTTCTCACTAAAGAAGCTAGTTCTTCAAGAATAAAGCACCCAAAATCAATGGAAAAAGCGGCAACTGTAAAATCGCTTTTTTTCAGATGTACCACACTATACACCACTAACTATGAGTCCAAGATTCAATGCGAAATACTTCAATCATTAGGTTTATTGGTAGCAGTAACGTTCTTCCTACTCTTCGGAGCACTCTGCCTCCAGACCCTTCAGAACCACAATCCCACTCTACCAATCACCACTAACATCACCAGCAGTGTAATATCCCGTTACAACTTGCATACCATGTTACCCAGCTACAAAACCAGGTGTCCTCTCAGAAACCCCCAAACCGAGCCCTCATTCTGGAGATCAGCCCAGGGAGCAGCATTATTCATCAGTACGGTAAGGGCTCCTGGCTCTCTGCCAAACAGTATGACAGGGAGATTATTTGTGGTTATGTACTTCATAGTTGGGGTCCTGCTTCTGCTATGTTTTCTGGCGTGTTTTGTTATTCTCATGCAGGAGATTATGGAGAGGTTTTTGAACTTGTTCTTTCAGAACTCAGATTTGTGGACCAAGTTTACTTTAACAGGACATGGTTTGAAACTTGTTGTCTCATTATTACCTCTATCTGCACTGCTTTCTATTCCTGGTATATATCTCTATCTGAAGCACCGAGCTCTCAGTTTCAAATCCGTGATGTATAATCAGGTGTTTACAATCACTACTGTAGGAGATGTAATGGTGCTCAGTGACTCTCCAATGGCTGTTGCCAAAGTTGTCTGTTTGTTACTTCAGCTCGGATTTATGGCAAACGTACTCTGTTCAGGGATTAATGTTTTTAGAGCTGTTAGGACGGTTATCTGCATCTGTAGCTATACGAATACCGGATATTCCAGATATAGCACGGAAGTTCAGCCAGGTTCACTGGACAGGGGTTTTGATGAAGATGAACTGTAAACCAACAATGTCAGCAACTTAATTTTGTGATAACGTAAATTCAATAACTAACTGTTTCTACTATACTTGTTAATTGCAATGGTGAATAAATAAGATTATTTAACACTATTCGTTTATTCAAGAAATGATAGATTTAGACATACAATCTGGATACAATACAAATTGTATAAAGCAATTGTTATATCTGATCTTAAAGACCAATTCACTGCGCTACCCAGTACAACCAAATAATGTAAGTGAAAAGAAAAAACATTCCAATTCACCAATAGAAATTCATTTAACCAAGAGGTGAAATCTCACAATTAACCCAATCAACACTCTTAAAACAAGACTATTCAAACCTGATTTCTAATGAAATTTGAAATTATTCTAAAAGTGCAAGAATTGAAGAACTGTATTACATGTAGCAAGAACAGAACTGAAATCCTGTGATACTCGGAGCGATAGAAGGAATCTCAGCTAATGTTAGTAAAGACACACCTTACATTCCTACTACGAACTTGGAACATGAGTAAAACATAAGATCAGAGACTCAAAGAGGACAGCATGTGTCGTTTCAGTAGCTTTATTCCGTATTCACCAGTAGATTACTCTATTCGGGAAAGAAGCTCAAAGTCAAGTTAGTAGTCTTACCCCCTGATATAATCGGAGTCATTACAAGTGGAAGTTTGATAGCTGATACATTGTACACATGAAACTGGATATATATTCGAACGTTTGATCGACTGCATAGAGGCTAGAGCAGCTGTAAATTAACATAATAATTTTGTTTATATGGATTATTTTAAAACCATCTGTCCACAAGGTCGACATTGACACCAGTTTAAATTTTAGTAGAGTATGAGATAACATACGATTTAATTTGGGCTAAGGCAGGTGGAAGGTAGGTATGAAAAGTTGGAACATCACTGCCAATAAAAGGGTACACATGTTGTACTGGATATATAATTACAAGCTGTTTAGTCACTTATTCCTAATTGTTTGTCCAATGTCCAAACTTTTTATGACAATAGTGATTTAACGAGAACAGCAACTGTTTTTTTTTGGTAGTTTCAACAAGGTATCTCTTCAGTGTGGGTGTGTGTGTGTTTGTGTTTGTGTTTGTTCAATGCAATGATTGTGCATTCGAAAACATTGATTTGATAAAGTGAAAGTTACTTAAGGAACTTAAGGAATAGTTAATTTGTGAATAGCAGTTGATAGCAAAAATCCTGTGACTCGGTGAAGGTTTTGCAATGTACTAGACTTTAATAAACTTTAATTTATACAATGAATTATCGTTGCAATGATAAACATAAATTTTCAAAATGGTCATTAAAGGCAATCACAATATTACAATATGATTATATTATATATTATCACACTTTCGAGCCAAATTTGGCAGGAAAGCAGAATTGATATTGCATGCCCCGATGGGGAGCACTGGCTCTCACCCGGGGGCATGAAATATCAATCAGTTGCTCAGAGAGAGCCCGATATTCCCATAGGAACAAGGAGCCCACTATCAACAACTGTTCTACTACTGTGAGGTACTGATTTAAATAAAGATTTAAATCAACAACCTGAAGTAGTCTATGACCGTAAATGCAATGATCAGATGAACTTTTCACAATTAGGAAAAATGTATATTTATGGATGATTTTAAAAATATTTCCTTGCGTTTGAGATCTGTTAAGCAAAATAAAAATGTTTGTTGTAAAATTTTTTCAAGCTGTTGCTTTTTTACTGCACTTCATATTTCAAAGCCTAATTAAGCTTCGAATGATGAAACAAAGTAAAAACTCCCTGGCTTGTACGAGCTTTAAGTGACTTAAGATTACTGAAAAGTGAAAACGAGATCAAAGTTTACGAGCAGACTTGAAAGTTGCACAAAGTTTTGGTACTTGTCAGCGATACAATCAATCAGGCTAATTAATTTCCCTAATCACTTACTTGAAATTAAAAAGGAAATGTCAGAACAAACTACAGTCGCCCTCACAAAAAATAGTAAACACTAAACGATGTTTGATTAATTCGAACGAAGAAAACACACAAAACAAGAATCTTGGTGTCAAGTAGTTATATTTGAAAGAAAATTATTGTCAAGAATTGATAAAGGGCTGGTCAGCAAATCATAACGTAATAAATTGTGATATATTACGATATGGGATCATTCGCATATTAATTTAGCCACATTTCAGCCATCTCAGACCTCACTTTTAACCCCATCTGATCCCTTCTGTGAGCCATATTCCATATAGAAATTGTGCAGAAATTATACTTGGCTTTTCCAAACCGGTTTCGCCTAGATTAGCTTGCGTGGCTGATCTATAAACAGACTGATAAAGAGATTCTGTATGTAGATTCTGTACAATAAAGAGCGGAAATTCTATCCCAGGACTAGTTTTAACTGAATTTTAGTTAGTGCAAATAAGTGCAATAAAAACATCCTATAAAATATATTATTTATATAAATATATCAAGGGACGAATGACGTAACTTAATCAGCTAATCTGGTTATAAATTAGTCTGGGCACTGGGGCAAACAGGTCCGATGATTAATGTGCTGCCATTCATTAGACCAATTCAATATTGGTAACAGTACGGGTGAACTACCTGGCCATGACCAGGGTGGTTATAGGCTGGTGGAGTACTGCGTTCTAAAATGTTGAAGAGATACATTTGAATATTACAAATGTTCTGATAATTTCCAGTTCAGATAATTTTTAGCTCGAAGCAGATAATGGCAAATATTGGCAAGTAAAGATGAATACTGACTAAGAACTAAGCAGAATACTTGATAAAATTCTAAGTCAACGATTACAAGTTGCATTGATTAAATCATTCTGAAATAACAGACAATCAAGAATCAAGACGGACGATAATATTG